ATTTTTTCCCCTTTTGATCAGTTTTGCAAGCTAGACTGGACATTATAAGACAACACTGAACAAGAAAAAGAAACTAAAATCTTGTGTACTGTATGTAATGAATGTGCCTATCCTTTACTATCACAGTCTTTTTTACCGATATTCTTTTGATCCTTTTATAAGATCGTAGATAATTTGAATGTGCTAAAGACACTACATCATTCGATCCGTAACACAACGTTTCTGTCAAATCTAGCTTGTAAATTCCAGAGTTTTACGTAACTTAAATATGCTATCTGCAGGCCACAATAACAGTGGGGGGACATTTGTTAACTGCAATCATAATTGAGCACTTCATATTGAGATTACCATATCACTTAAAATATGTAAGTTGCCTTTTCTCCACTTTCAAGGTAATTATATTCCATAAGGGTGGAAGCAGTTAAGTTCTTTTGGATTAATTTTTTGTATTTATTTGAAAAAAATTCTATAAACTGCTGATACCCTTTATCTTATCTTAATAGACTTGCTCAAAGTCTGGAAAAAACGATGAAATGAAGATTCATAGCACGTTTGGTTTGGAGTGGTCTGAACCATTGATCACATTTGCACTCTCTTGTGGAAGTTGGTCCTCCCCATCTGTAAGTTCAGTTTGCTGCTTCTTAATATAAATAACATTAATTAATTTTGAATACTTTCTTTAAAGTATTTGTGTTTCTGTATGACATAAATTTAACTAGCTCAACTATTGGAAGAGTGCTTATTGTCCAAAAAGATGTTGCCTGTGTCACTAATTTCTTCACAAAAAGTAGAAGATTGAAGAATGAAGAAATCCAAAAGAAAGAAAATAGCTTGAAAAGGGCAAATTAAAGCATTTGAAGGTAAATACCCTCTTAGTATAGTTGAAAGACTTAACGGAACTGTGAAAGTCTCATTTTCTACTAAATTAAGAAACTAGCCTTTGCTGCAAAAGGGGTATAGAGAGTTAACTAGAAGCATTCAATGAAAACTTCAAACGGAGATTTTAATGCATATTCTCACATGCTCCTGCTACTTGTCATGACGAATCTTGGTTTGTTCTTTATGACACGTCTACTGCTAAAAATTTCCAAAGAATTTTCTACACCGTTTCTTGTTTTGAAGACTAGGAAGACAACCCCTGATTATTTGTTCCGAACTCAATTCATGAAGTTTATTATGGCTAGTAATAATCTATCTTTTGGGGCTATGATATTCTTCCACTTAATATGATAATTCTTCTCTTGAATTAAGGTGAGGGTGTACACTGCACCTTGCATTGAGACTGAGTTGGAAGCAGCAAAAAGAGATTATTTACAAGCAGCAGTTGGCATTTCATCGACTAACAAGTTAATGATACCAAAATTATTAGATTGGTATCTTCTTGACTTTGCAAAGGATTTGGATGCATTACTAGATTGGGTATGCCTACAGCTACCTGATGAACTTAGGAACAAAGCAGTTAAATGCCTTGAAAGAAAAGGAAGAGTGTCTCTCTCAAATTTAGTACAAGTGATACCTTATAATTTCAATTTCAGATATCTTTTACGCCAGTGAGAATTTCGTTACCTTCTCGAAACATTGAATGCATGTTTGGCGGACAGTATTATCTTGTATTGTTGAGTCGTCTCCAATTCTGTGTACTAAACATGCAAGATTCAAGAATTCTTTGCATTTCTTGGAGCGTTTGAGATGCAAGTGTACGCACTAGTATATAAGACAGAATACTTCTTGTAATAATCTTAAGATTTACTGTTAGGGGACTGGATTATCTATGTTAGTGTGGTGATCAGTCCATTAAGATTTGTCTTTATTTTTTTTATTTTTTATTTTTTGAAATAATTGTCTGAAACACTAGATACCAAAATCAAGGCTTCTCCAACCTCGAATCTCACGAGGGTTTCAAAGTTTCACTTGGATTTTGTTTGTTTCTATTGTGAATGAGGTATAACATTTGACGAGTAACCTAGCGAAAACAATTTTATTTGTTGGTTTTGTTACTAGTAAATTTCGAACAATGATGTTAAATGGGTTGAATTAAATTTCATAGGTCTTGACTGATGGTGAAATTATTATCAACACATCAATTTGTAAACTTAACCCGAAAACAACTTGGATCATTTAAAGCAACTTAATTAGTTAATGTTGCTCATGGCCTATTTATTTTAAGAGAAAATTATATATAAACGTGTATTTAAGTTTTCTAATTCAAAAATCAAGCGTGAGATTTATTTAATCAAAAAGAAAGTATTAATTGAATTATGAGTGGTGGTGATAGTGGATCTGAGCTCAGGTAGATGGTGACAACGGTGTGTATGAGGTGGTGATGGTGGATTTGAGGTGCCGGTGAAGTCTGATAACTGTGGCGGTGTGTAGGAGGTGGTGATTGTGACTCACAAGTTGTTGACAACTCACACGTTACCGTTCGTAGGTTGCAAATCAATGTCCAAAAGTCACTATAAATGTATCACATGTCAATGTTGACAAGTCACATATCAATGCCTATGTTATCGATCAATTTAATTGGTTATATATCAATGTTCACAAGTCACAAATCTATTAAGATTGGTCACATATTAATGTTCATAGGACAGCGATCAATTTAATTGGCCACAAACCAATGTACACAGGTCACATATCAATTTAAATTGGTCACATATCAATGTTAATAGGGTCACGGGTCACATATAACTAGTCACATGTCAAATTACATATGTTACAGTTCATAAATTAAAGAGATTTGGCCTCATGCCATTAATTTCTCTGACTTCAATTATTCGAACTGGTCACAAATTCAATTACCCCCATTTTCGACGATAACAATTGAAGTTTTTGTTCCAATAAATACTCTGTAAATTACATCAAGGATTTTTTTTTTAATTTTCAATTTTAAAAATAGTTTTGAATTATACCAACATTGTTGAGTTGCCGCTGAAGATGATCGGTTCTCAACTATGCTCAATCAATGTTGATCTATGACCTCTATGTTTCTCCCTCTATCTCTACTATCTAAGCAAGCAATGCTCAGTTACCGTTCAGAGACAACTAGTTCGTTGTTAAAGAAGTCATCAATGAGGTGGATGTCGATGGCAAGTAGGGCTGTAAATGGATCGAATATGCTCAAATCCAATTCGTTAAGAATAATTATCAGATCCGATAATTCGATGGATATTTAAATGTTAAATCCATATCCAATTAGCTATGTTATCGAATGTCCAATCCTATAACTTGTTCTGAAATTGAAAAACTTAAAAAAATAAAAAATAAAAAATATTTATTTTTTCATTAAAAATCATAACCTCAAAAAGATTTTAATTAATTATTTATTTTAAAAAATATTTGAACTATTTTGATGGGCTCACTTATTATATTAGAATGCCAAAATCAATTTTTTTTTCTTCCAAGTGATGCTCCTTTTTAATTTCTTTTTAAAGGAGACCTTCTTAGAATATTTTAGTGATATTCCAATATGGGATACTAGCTTTTTAAAGAATTCTCCTCTTCCAATGATTTATGATCTTTCAATGTTGAATACCAATAATAATCATTTGTCAATTCTAAGGGTTTACTAGTTTACTTTATTATTTTCATTAAAAATCACAGCCTCAATAAATTTTTAATTACAAACAATATCAACTTGAACAAAGTAAATTATTTTGGACATATTAATTGTTAGTTTTTTATGTTATAAAACAAATTACTATAGTAAATCTCGTCAATAAAATAATTAATAATTTTATCTTATTTTAATCAATAAAAAATTAAATCTCTTCAAAATTTTCAATTAAAAATATTACACTATTATATAGTATTATTTATTATTTAAAATTTATGTGTAAAGTATAATACAATTTTCAAAATGGAAAAAAATGTGTCATAAATTATGCAATAATATAAAAAATATAATATATTATTATAATAAATCAGATGGGGTTGTTTTCAGATATGATTGATCTATATCCATATTTGATTCATTTAGTTAACGAATTATCGAATTCAGACCTCAATCAAGTTATCGAATTTAGACCCTAAATCCATCTCCCATTAATTTCATAGAAATTGGATTAAAATCCAATCCATTTACAGCCTTAATGACAGGTGGATGCCGATGACTGTAAGAAGGGATTGCTGCATGAGGGTGCGAGAGGGTAGGGGCTATTGGTTCAATAATATTATTATTTAAAATTAAAATATTGAATTAACACTTTACTTTTAAATTTTTATACTTAATGTCTCGAACCTTATTGGACATCTCTCATTTTTAATGTGTTGGGCCACTTAGCTTGGGTTAGCCCATTTGTTTACCTATCCCTAAATCTCAAAAAGGTCCCCAAAAAAAAAAAAAAAAAAAAAAAAAAAAAA